CACAACGGCTCCTTCTCCACCGTAACTGCTCACCCATGACCTTCTCACGGCAGATTTGTTCCTGCTATTACCCTCCAGGTGTGTACTCTGCCGTACTGATTCTCTCAACTCCAGCCCACTCCCAGTTATATTCTGCTATTCCTTTGCAACTGCCCCATCCTCTCCCACACCGATGATACTCGAGACCTCCGTGTCATCAGTACAGTTAAATTACACGCTGCCAAGAGCTGTGTTACAGGCAGTAATGAAATAACTGCAAATGGTCCCAAGATAGGCATCTAAATGGCTTAAGTGCTCTCTTCTCTGGCCTCAGGCTTCCTCCAAGGTTGCCTGCCCAGCTAGGTCCTCAGACCACTCCTAACCCCCTAGCACAGATCCTCTCCAGGCTAAGCCTCCCGTGGTATCAAACACTCAACTCCACAAAGATGATGCTACCTGTCCCAATGACTTTATCAAAGCACTATGGGTTTAATCTAAACAGACAGGTGCTAAATTTTATGCCATTTTCCACTTATCTTCTTGTCCAAATGTATCCTCCACACAGGACACCTCTGTGTGCCGAGACGATGCCTATGAGATACTTTTTGCATCCTCTATTCTGCGTAAATATTGGGCACTCTTTTCATCACTCTCCTATCAAGATTAAAAACAAAACCACCAAAACATTTAAAACCCTTTGCCTCCAGACCTACAATTTCAGAGTTCAGCAGCGGTGGTTATCCAGCTATCCTGCCACCAGGGAGTTACAGCTCTTGATTGTTTCCTTCCCCTTCACATGCTGACGTCTCTGTTTTCATACCATCACTCCCACGGACAACGGGGACAAGTCAGGCCTTCATTATCATTGAAAAGGATGGCAGTGAAATCACTTCACCTGAACTATTTCACCTATTCTCAGGGCCTAGTACCTTGTCCAGCTAATTAAGAGAACAAGAAAAACCTTTCACAGCTAATTTGAATGTCTAAGCAAGGTCTAACAGCTGGACTAAGCGATTCCCACTTGCTCACTGCAGTACAATAGACTCAAACGCATCCTTCCACACTCCCAGTTAGAAAGGTCGCTTTTAAGAGTGAACTTAAGTATAATCAGCAAAGTTTTGTCTTGCTGTATCTTCCAGAAGCTTAAAAATGCATCTATTGTGGGATTAATTTGAGAAAAAAACCCCCACAGACACAAAAAAAGACAAACAACCAAGGTACTGTTTTCTTGGGTATTTCTTAGCCCATCTCATCAAGATGGAATGAGTCGCCTCAGGCATCACCATGGAACATTAATGCCAGCTAAAGGCCACCTTTCTCTGATTTCCACCATGCAACCTGCAATTTCAGGGCAAAAATGACAGTCAAGCCATGTATAACACACGGGCAGCACAAAATCAATTGAACTTTAAATTGCAACCCAAAGAACAACTAAATACATCAGATGTGTAATTCACTTCATCTGTCAACTTCTGAAGACATCAATTTTTTTTTCTATCATAGGCTAAATTTTCTGCTGAACTAAGCTCTCTGGAGAATTCACAAAACCTTCCCTATATTTTGAAGGGGCTTAACAAATGTGCTGCTGGAGCTTTTAACCCTGAGGTGTTGGTAAGTAAGCCACCAGTATCCACATGCCAGAGCAGAGGGATTACAGACCGATGTGCTGAAGGCTCTTGAAACAAACCAACAGCTGAGACATAGATTTAGCTGGTGACAGCTGGGAACTCAGCCAACTGCTCCTGTTACTTCCTTTTCCCAGTGAGAACCAGCTCACACAAGAAGGTAACTGAAATCAATTCCTGTTACTGCAACATCACAGTTAGAACATGAAGCTCTCAAAAGTCAGTGAGTTCTAAAAGGTAGTGATTTTTCTACTTCAGGTATAGCAAATTTCTTATTCCTGTCTGGTGTGTGCACTTCAGTCACCCAACCATAAGAAGGAAAAAAGCCCAGGAACTTTTCCTACTGCAGCGAAGATGGTGATGCAGAAGGCTTCTGGCTCTAAAGCAACTTCAGGTCTGAAGGAATGTGAATTTGCTGGCCTTCCATGCACACTCACAATTTATTCAGGCCTTTACTTTGGGAAAGCGGTTTCTTGGTTATACAACAGAAGTCTTTCCCATGCCTGTCCGCGGCCCCTCTAACATGATGGAAATTGTCATGCTAGTAAGCAGAAAATTCTGCAAAAAAAAAATCTTCATTTACTCTTTCGTTGTAAAACACGATTTCCTGTCATTATTTATAGCAACTCTAATAATTCAGGTCTAAGATCTGTGCTCTCAGAATGAAAACCCGGGTATTCAACTCATTTCAAGCAGTGTTTTCACGGTCACATTGAAACCAGATTACGCTTCCTGAGATCTCTGCAACAAATGACACACATCTATGCAAAGAGGTAACCTGGAAGAACGAAAGCTTAAAGGAGGCATCATACCTTTGGCCGTACTCCTAGGAAGCCACTGCAATTTGGGGCTCCACATTTACAAACGGTCTTTCCATTTCCCAAACACTCCAGATTGTAGTTGAAAGTCAGCTCAGTCCCTGGCACAAAAGCAGATCAAACCCAAGCAAGTTGTAATGAACTATGGAGCAGAACAGCTTACTGCTGAAGTAAAAGCACTTTTGAAATACAATGACATAAATGACTGCCACAAGTACACGAGGATACCAACTATTAATCTCCCCACAGATCTGTGTGGATTGAAAATCCAGTGCAACCCCACACTCCTACTACGTACTACCGCCAAAAAGGTGGCATTCAACCCCATGCTGTAGCATGCTTAGTTCCATTTCTTGACCCTGTAAATTAGAACTACAAAACTCTATTTATACCACGGATCTACGTGTTTCATTGTGCCAATGCTGGTGTAATGTCTCATGACTGCCTATGTGAAAACAGAAATTAACTATCTTCCCAGGGAGCTACAAACCCTCTCCCTTCCTCACAGAAACACTCCCACGCTTTTAACTCCGGGTACTGACAGGGCGGGGTTCCTTACCAGCTTTGATATTTACAATTGCGAAGAGCCCAACCCGAGTATCGCCATTCACACACCATTTCTGAGTCTCACAGTTCGGCTGGCAGCAATGGTTCATGAACCGAGCGTAATTGCCCTTTGGCCCAGCATCAATGATTCGATCCTGGAATTGAAATTAAAAAAAAAAAAAACCAAACCCAAAACAAAAAACCCAAACAAAACCCACCAAAAACCAAAACAACAACAAAACAGAAACCCACATTTAATAAACTGTCATTTCCTGCTCAAGCCGTCAGCACAGGCTCCAGTATACCAGGAAAGCATTAATGAGTAGTGAAAACCATGACAAGGGAGGGATCTGATGGCACTTGCAAAGCACCCGAGTTCCTAGATGTGTTTTAACCGAGTGTAAGGACAGGGGTTACTGTGTTGCCTGGACAATTGACAGACACCCAGCCCGTTTCCACAAACCACTGTCCCTCACTGGGGCTGGCAGATCACAAGGCAATAGTCTCCTGCACAACATCATCTGCCTCTTCAAAGACAGACGAGCTCCCCCAGACAGCCAGGAAAGTGCTACTGTTGCTTTCTGGGAAGTTAGCTCTCCCTGCAGTGCCAGTACTGGATAAACATTACACCAGCACGCTTCTCGGGCGGCACTTGTGGTTCCAGACTCTGACTTCTGCTTAAAAGCAAAATACTAGTTCCTATTTCTCCTATGCCAAGGTATAGAAGGAAAACGGGAACCGTATGTAACTTGTGAGGTACACTTGTGTACCGCACACTACCATGCGTTAGACAGCATTGGAGAGGGCAGCTGCAACTGAGATTTGGTTTTGTAACAATGAGGCAGACATTAACACTCGGTTTTGTCCCTGCTCCCCCCCACCAACCAGACAAGGAGAATAAGATACCTGGCACACACCAGCCCAGTTCTGGGCTCTCCACGGTTCAGCTGCTGGGAAGAGCTCCGAGGTTACCCAATTCACCTTGTTATGGTGAAGCAGGATCTGTGATCCCCGGACAACTGCATTCAGACACCTGCTTCACCTTTTCTGAACTCCAACGGTCAGTTCAGACTTTGCTCCTAATCTTAGTATCTAACCTGAAACTTCTCTACTGCACATTAAGTCCATTTTTTTAATATTCTCTTTGGTGGAAATGCAGACCAGCTCATCAGCAACTCCTAGCACCTTTTTTTACTTGCTGGGGAAGACCCTATCATACCTTCCTTGCAATCATTTCACTTCTGTCTAGAACACTGGCAAGAGAAATTCCTTCCACATACCTTATCCAGCGTCAACATGTAGAAATTGGTGATGTCATGCTCCTGAGCATAGCGGATTCGGGCTCTGCACTCCTCTTCATCAATTAGCTCCCCGACATATTCATTAACAAATTCGCCCTGTCAGAAAAAAATCAAGCTAGTAAGTCCAGACAAGTTCCCTCCAGGATAGAGGGACATCCACCTTTGTGCTAAAACTTAGTTCCCGTTTCCTTTACGGAAACCTTCGCATAAAAATCCTCCTCTGTGCTTTGCAGCCAGTTTGACCTATGCTCTTCACTAAGCGCCCTGAATCATACATCTGTTTCACACATTCAATAAGTAACTTGAAATAAATTAAATAAAGCAACTGAAAGCCATCAGATTATTCTTTGTGCTATGCAAAGAATTAATATTCAGGGACAGCACAAAGTAAACCACAAGAACAGCTCTGCTGCAAAGCTCAAAGCACTGCATAACTGCATTCCAGCTGAAAACAACACCCCTTTGGGGAACAACCACACTGAGCAGCAGGATGCACCTAGGGCACCTGCTCCTGCAGTGAACCCGTGGAGCTCCCTTGTTATGAAGCACTGCAGAGACTGTACTTCTACCATCAATGGGAAGCCCAGCTCTGCTCCACTGGAGCTAACAGGTGCCTCCATAAAATAAGTGAGTTTTGCTGTTTTCAGGCTGCTGAAAGTGAAACATAACAGGCGCATGGAGTGGCAGAGAGATCCTTTAACCTATATCACAGCAGGCAGCAAAGCCTAAACAGGATAGACTCACATTTTTCCTTCTGCTATCAAGCCCTCTCCTGTAGCATGTTGTCCCTACTCCTTTTTCAGACATTCTTCTCCTAGTATGCTAATTGTTCCCTGTTTCACTTCACCCTTTTTTAGCTTTGGGGTTCTCTTTGCTTTAACATTCTTCCTTCTTCATTCAGCACAGATGTGTGTCCACAGAACTACTATTCTCTGGATTTAAAAAAAAAATATACAAGTGTTTTAGCTGGAGATACCAGTTTCAGCAATAATAATAGTCATCTCCAAGACACTACCCTTTTGTAAGAGCCAAGCCCTGGTTTCAGTTTCTGATACAAGATTCTCACACTGGAAAAGCCTGGCTATTCAAGAACGGGGAGAGGTATAATCACTGTTCCCCATTTGGAAATCCTGAGCATCATCTTCAGGCCAGTGTTCTGGCATACTCACAAAACCCATCACTCATACAAGCAGACAAGTCAAGCAACCATCTTTCTCACCCTGTGGGACATCAACATGCAAACTATTTTCTTGGTTAGCTGAGCCAAAACATTCTTGCCAGGACTAGAAGAGGTAAATTCATCCATTTCTGTCCTAAACGGCATTCTATGGCAAGAAGTCTTCTTCAAATTACAGATTTTTCCAAATTTTCAAATCTATTGAAACCAAGACTGAGCAAGAGAGAAGTGGCAGGAGAAAATGACATGCAGAAAACGAGTACATACCTTTCTGATGTCTGTTTTGGCTTGCAAGCCCCAGCCTCGTGCCAGCGTGCGGAAAATTTGTACCTCAGGATACTGCCGCTTGGAGAAGCACTGGTTCTGGCAGCGCTCCCCAGCAGGGCAGACCAGGGGGTGGCATTCATAGAGCAACATGCGATTGATGCATTCCGAATCCAGGCCACAGGGGTTTTCATCTGTTGGTTTGCAGTTGCAACGCGGTATCTCGGACAGGTCTGCAGTAAAGATCTGCACCTTACCCACTGGGCGGTTCACCTTGAAAGCACACGAAGGACGTTAGCTCTTCAGAACAACAGGTCATCCTGACTGTCACGTCTATACTCAACCCTTGCTGAGGAGCTGACAGGCCGCAGTGCGAGTTAGTTACAGCAAGGTGCAGGAGGACACAAGTACAGGCACATAGGTACTTCTGGGCACACCATTTCAAGAAGTATCTGGTTAGAGGGAACAGCTTAGGAGGATGCAGGTCCCCCATTAGCATCACCTGGTGCAGTGTGTACTCTGTGACCTCGGAAGGGGGAGAGGCCGCCAAGTGTCCCCCTCCCATCACCACTGTGCCTACATCCAGCCCAGCACTCTCATGGGGTGCACACCATACCTGTGACTAACACCAAACCATTTTCTGGGTGGAACAGTACCTTCTCCAGTCTCTTGAGTGTCAGGTCCTTTTCCTTAGCTTTTCCTTACAGCCCTGGTTTTTGAATCTGTTACCTTCAAGCTGGTTTGTCTCTCAGCTGTCACTATGAGAACCAGGCGGGCATGCCTGTGACAGAGTACAGAGGGCCTACCTATGCACCAGGCCACCAGCAGTTATAGCTCCCTACCCAACTGTCCTGCAGATGTAAATGAAAGAAAAAACAGACGAGGCTGGGGTTGGAAGGCCCAAAGAGGAGCTCAGAGTTAAGCCAAGGAGCTCTCTAAAAACCGCTCCAGAAGGAAGCAGAGTGCAGCACCAGGTGGAGAAGCGACTGGCGTGTCTGTGGCATGAGCAGGGTCCTTTGGTTTTGGTTAAAGGCAGCGAACGCTGAAAAGCAGGCAACAGAGAGTCAGGACTTTTGAGAGAGACACTGAAGAAAAGCTCCTTGCTGTTCTTTGCCTGGCTGAGTAATACCATCAGCTCCCTTTCCTCTCCCAGGACAAAGGAGGGGATCATTTAGCAAAACTATTCCAGCCCCCACACAATTTATCTAATCCCACCCATTGAGCAAAGTTTCTGCCCTGGCAACCTGCCTGAGGCTGGCCTAGCCCTGATCCTCCTCCTTTGTTTAAAAGCAAACCCTGATAAAAGAAACCTCTGATTAATCTCTTCAACACAGTCTCCCCTTCCTCCTCATACCGCCTCCCAGCTCCAACCTTCCTTATCCCTCTTGTGTTCTCCTCTGCTGCTTCCCATCTCTTACTCAGATTGTTAGCTCATCACCTCGTTAAGAGTGACAAGATCACAGGATTAGGACCACCCACCACTGGGCAGACAGAGGTGCCCTGGCTGGCTCTTGCACTACCACCCCAAGTGACCACGGTGTCGGAGGGTGGTGCCCCTCTCAGCATGCACATGTGCCCCACAGGCCTGCCCTACTCGCTGAGGCACTGCTGGTACAAACCCAGCTCCAAAACAGGGCACTGCTTGGACTAGCCACAACCCTGATGTGATGATGGATCCCAAGCATATTTTGCAGCCGCCTCTCGAGCTGGAACAGACCCCAAGGTACTGACCTCCTTAGAAGGCCAGGATGGGAGTAGACACAACCAGCTTTGGCCATTCCACCTTCTCCAGTTCACTGTACGCTCCTGCAAACTGCTTTGCTTTCCCAGGGGCAAACAGCTTGCACCCAGACCTCAGAAGAGCTGCCATGGCTAATGACCATGACCTTTATCATTTATATTAAAAGGGTATTTCAAAGGCTCCAAAATGCTTCCCAAGTTCCTTCATGCTGCAGCCAGAGACAGGCATAAAAATACCTATAATGAGAAACTCTATTTCCTCCACTGAAGCTGCCTGGCCCACACTGCTGCCACAGCATTCAGTTGTGTTCTTTACACTGTACAGTAACTCCTGAAGGATATACCTGCCTGCCTAAAAATCCTAGCTAGAAATAAGTGCCAGCTACCAGTTAAACTTTCACAGTTTGCCACATAAAAAAGGGGAGGAGCAGAGGCAATGAGAAAAGAACATAGTCCCACAGTCACTGGGTTTTTGATCAGTCTGAACCCACATCTCAAGCACATGCACCTGCTTGGCCCCAGCTCTTCTCTCAAGTCACCTCCATCCTGTAGGATTACTATTGCTGCTCCAATTCTATCTCAAAATACAGCCCTAAACATGAATAGTTCCCCAAAACTCAGCAAAAGGCCTGATATTCCAGCACGTACATCTGCTGTAGCATTTCTGTGCAGGACCAACCGATACAGAAAGAGATAGAAAACAAGAGCAGAGATGAAACAAGACACTGTGGGTTCCTATTTCCCACACAGCTCTGCTCCACTGCACCCTGACCATCTCCTGTCTTGCACCGCCTGGGATGCCCACCTTGCCATCAGTAGCACACAGCACTTGAGCACACTGCTTGTTACGAGCACTCTCCCCTAAGTTCCCATGGTAGAAAAACACTTCCCTCCAGACCACACAACTGACACGGAACAACATGGAGACGTCCAGATCTGTTCCAGTAAATCAGAGTACCTCTATTACTGGTGTCCAGCTTCCATACAGCTCTGCACATACATGAATCCTTTCTGGGGAGGATGACTGAAGGTGCGAAGAGGATGAAAATCACCTTCATATGCAGCCAGATTCCCAAACAGTAGCAATGTTTCTGTATACCTGTAAATCACCTGCACCAACAGCTCAAGACTTCTCTTCCACACCTGCCCGCCCCCCCTGCTCTCACCTTGATGTGTTTGTAGGGAGGAGGCTTCTTGTCGTTCTTTTTGTCTTCCTGAAGCTGTCTCAGTTCTTTCTGTGCCTTCAATTCTTCAAATCTTACTGCAGCTTCCTGAAGAGCTAAGTGAGAGAACAGGCTGTTCTGTTATGAGGAACTCCCTCTGCTCACACAGAGCTGGGCTGCCAGCGTCCACCCAGTGCTCACAGCTCCACAAGCAAACCAACTTGGCCACGTACGTCAGAGGTTCACCAGAGGGAGGTGAAGGAAAGGCCAATGCAGTAGGGCAGTCGTTACAGTAAGAGACCTGTCCATGGGTGATGAAGCATCCAAACTGTCAGCTAGCTTTGCCTGCTTTTGGGCAGAGGTGTCAGGCAGCTGCACTCACAACTCTCAAGAGCATTTTTATACACATATAACGACTGTATTAGACACAGGGAAGCTGACAAAGCAGCAGCTCACTCGGATTTAGAGCAGCTATGTCAGAGCTGGAGAAGCATTCAAGATCTGCACACCCTTCTCCCTCTCTGGGAGGCAGACCAATGAGTGTGCTGGATGATAGCTAAGCAGCAGCTCATTCTACAAATTTAATTTCACTTTAGGTTCAAGACTATGTTTTTCTCTGTTACAAGAATGCCACTTTTCCAAATGGGAATGAAGAGAAAAAGAACATGTACCTCCCTGGATAAAGGCACATTACCTTTCTTGTATATGCCATCCACGCCCTTCCCCATCTTGTCTTTGCTGCTGACATCACCTTCCATGTAAGGGAACACACGGGCCTGGTGGGTCCAAAGGTAATCCTTGGAGCCGAAGAACAGCACAGGGAACTCGCCGATATCGTGTTTCATTTTCTGGATGTTGACAGGAATTGTCCTAGGATGGCAAATCTCAGCTGGCCACCACCTGCAACACAGGGAAGGGCAAATGAAACCTCTGGCTTCCCCACATCCAACCACCTCAGAAGTATGCTACTGCATGGAGACAGGGGGGAAAAGTGCGTGAGGGCAAGGCTGGTGGGGAGACAAGAGGCTGCTGGAGGAGGAGCACACATTTTTACCACTTTATCACTACATGCATGCAAAAAAAGCCAGCGGCTACTGCACTGTACCCTGCAGAGAGGAGCACCTTCTCACCTCAACCACCATGAGCACTGCATGAAGAAGGGATGAGGACAAGTCTGTTCTACCTTCACCTACCTGTAGCGCCCAACTTTCACCCAGACTACTTCCTTGTAGTGTGGCTTTTTGCCTGCCTTGCAATCATTACAATACCAGCTTCCCTCTGGCATCTCAATGTTTAGACACTCACGGTGAAACGCAGCCGGGCACGACTCACAGCATAAAAGGCTGCCCCCTGCAAAGAAAAGGAGGAGGAATTTATCAGAGCGACTGTGCAGAAGAGACTCGGACTCCACACTTCTGCACAGACACAGCTGAGAAAAGGGCACGATGCTCTTCTGCAAACCCTTTTCAAATGTTTTTCCCTACTCATGCTGCAAAAAGAACCCCTCTAAGGATCCAGAAAAAGTCCTAGCCTGAAGTTAGACTTAAATGGGGATGGATAGGAAGGCAATCTGTTCTCCGCAGTTCTCACTGGCATGCTCTGGATGGGCAAAGCTTCTGCCTGCTCTACCGACTTCTTGTCAGGGCATTCCTTGGTGCCAGGGGACCCAGCGCAGACCACCTCACCTTCCGAGCAGACAAAGCACCAGCTGACGTTGACATGCTCGTGGTTGCGGCAGCCCCTCCGCGCAGTGAAGTGATTGGGGCAGATGATGCTGTTGGAGGCGAGGACCACGGAGCCGGCGGCGAGGCAGAAGTCGTTGGAGTGGTACGCGACCGGGCACCGCACACAGCGCATCAGGCGACCTGGCACCAGAACATGGCGGGACACAGTGAGCCTCTAATGGAGGACGATGGTTTGCTTCCTGCCAGAACTAGCCTCTATTGACACATAAGCTCAAAATGAACAACCATAGCTGATCTTTGGAAAAGGAAACCGACCTTTAATTTTTATAGACTGTCTGTGACATACTCACTAGATTCCTATTAAATTATTTAATATAACAAAACATATATAAAATATAACATATATACAATTGTATTATTTAAAAGTGAAAAGCCTCCCGCGTCCTGTGCAGAAACAGTTCAAGAGTTCACAGACTGGGACTGCTTCCTATCATACACAAATAATTAGTAAATCAGCTCAGACAGTAATTACAGAGGGGGTGTTCCAAGTGCTTAGCTGTACATAACAAAATCAATCTGCGTAGCTTCTGAAAACATCGGCACTCGCCTCTCCACTTTATCACATTTTACCCTGAAATTCCAGAACGGAGAAATCAGAACTGCCTCCAGGCCTAATTTACCCATGGTTTCTGAGAGCCTGTTTTCAGTTCCTCACAGGAGACTACAAAAAGGGAGAAGAGGTGGGAGGAAAGGGGTAAGTCTGACCACTGAGAAACAGGAGCCACAACAACACAAATGTTCAGTGGGGAAGTGGTCAGCTGTTGGCTTTAGGCCTTAGTGCTATCTTCTACACCAAATACTGATATATGGAAAAAAAGACAACTTTAACACAGATCCTGAGGACAAAAATAGAACTGGTCTTATTGTCACTCATCTTAAGATACCAAGGATTTAAAGAAAGGCAGCTTTAGAAGCAAACATACAAGACAATCACATTAAATATTTTAAGTTTAATCACGTGAGATAAAGGTGAAGGTATTGCTGCAAACAGCTCAAACAAACGTTTGCCTGAGAAGCTTAGCCCAAGGGTGTCACTACTACAAGATGAGAGTTTGCAACATAAAAAAAAGGAGAATTAGAACAATATCATAGTTTTTACTACACTGCTCTCCATGCCGTTGCCTTGATAGCCAGTGCTGCTAAGCTGGCACCATCTGCAGCACTGAGACAGTGAAAAGTAGGTACGAGAAGCACGAGAGTGTCCATACAGCTCCAGACACTTATTAAAAAGCCCAGAGAAGCATGTGGCATCCCTGGACGTGCAGACATCCAAGTGTCTGAACAGCCAAGAACATTTTAGTTGCCATGTCTGACCATCAGGAGTGCTGATGAGCAGCAACCTCGCATACCGACGCCACCCCTTCCATTCCCCTGAGAGAAGCTATTCCTCAGCAAACGCTACAGCAAGTGCTGTGGCAAGGACAGAAAATCAACATAAAGAATTAACAGACCAGGTAAGTGCACAGCGGACATGAAACAACGAAAAAGCTTCTACCTGCATCCCCTAGACCACCCTAGAAGATTTTGGTACCTTTAGATGCAGAGATGTTTGCTGGGTTAGCAGCATGACAAGTCATGCAGATGTGCAGGGAGCATCGGAAGCCCTTGTTCTGCATGACCGTGGGCGGATACTTTTGAATGCATGCTTCGTGGTAATACTTCCCACAGAGGGGCAGCAAGCACCGTTTTACATCTTCCCCACAGCTCTTGCACACAAAGCAGGTATGGACCCCTGGAGAAAGAGCAGCAGACATAACACAGTCACACAGAAGGGCTAAATGAAGACGTGACACTTCCACCAGGCTGCACATCAGCACAGCACAACTTCCCAACCTGCTGTACCTATCCCAAAGCACAGCTCTCTGCAGCAGCCTGTTTTGGCCTGCAGCTACAATAGAACTCCAGATAGAAAAAAAAAAAAATAGGAAAAAAAAAAAGAAAACAAAAGAGTATTACAGTTGTGATTTCAGGCCCGGGAAAAATAAGAAGAAAAACAAATACCGACAACTGTACTTAGACATTCCCCCCTTTCCAGCCCGCTCCAGACTCATCCTCCCCACCAGCCCTCTCTCCCTAGCCCCAGATAAGAATTTCCCTCCTTCCCACCAGATCCCTGACATTCACTTCTTTGCAACCCATGTCTGAATCAACAGTAAGACCAGTTAACTAGAAAGTCATCTAAGACCAAACCAATAATGAGAGGACAGAGCTAATTAGCAGCCCTACTGCACGCACATCACTCCAGTAAAGGAAGCACTAGGTAAGCCCGCAGCAAGCACCCCGTCCTCCTGTGCTCACAAAAGCTGACTGTACCTGTGGAACACTCGTTGCAGATGAATTTGCCCTTTGGCATCTCAGAGAGCCCAAGGCACTGCAGGTGGAAAGCACCACAGCACTGCGCCTCACACAGCAACAACTCCCCTGGCTTCTCGCAGATCTGCAGGGAAAGAAGCACAATGTCAGCTCTGAGCGACCTCCTTCCCCAGCTCACCCCAGACAGCAACAATCCGCGTGCTGGCCAAGACTGCCAGCAGAGACTCCTGCAGAAAAACGCTAAGTTTTCCTTCTGCCAGTAAATTCAGGTGGTTTGTGCATCACCACTGCCATTTCCCATCCAGTCCCTGCTACTATGCATCAGCTAAAATAGATCCTACATTGGCCACGTCTCTGTAGTAACTGTGAACTTTAGCAGAAGAGGCAATTGCAGAGAAAAGGCTCAATTCAGAGCACAAAAAGCTGGTTAATTCTACAACAAGCACCTTGAGGTTACCTGGGCTTATCTGGGGCACTAGTGTGTCCCAGAACTTACACAAAAACACTTTACAGTGGTAAAGTTTCAAAGAGATTTCTTCAAGGACACTACCTGACACACATTCTCCTTTAGAGCTGCTCCTCCTCCACGCTCCCCCTGCATCTTTTTGGACGAAGGCACTCCATGGTCATTCTCTAACCCCTCTTCATTACCCTCTTTGGGGCTTGCAGCAGTCCCATGAACTGATGTCTCCCCCTTTAAAAAGAAATCCAGAATCAGGGCTGTCAGTAGTTCCTGTCCTGACTTGGAAAATTCAAACTCAGCCATTGAGCAAGTAACAGGTTTGGCAGTTGGTCTGTGTGCGTTACCCACCCTGGAGAGAACATCCCCCATACAGTTCCACCAAAAGACTTACAACAAAGAAAAAGACTTCTTAGTTTACTGTATCATCAGAAAATACACACTCAACACGTTTTCCCGTGCATAGTCCTTCTCTGAGGAAGGAGCCATGGCTGAGGAAGATATTGCCCTGCATAGGAACGAATCAGGAAGCTGGAACAGTCTTAAGCATCCTGCATGCTCATGTCTGCTTGCACTGGAAATGCAAATGAAAAACTTAAACAATCAAACAACCTCTATTGCAGTTGTCACCCAGCAAATGAGCCAGACTTTGCCCCACACTTGTCTGAACTTGTCTTAATCCATGTAGAATACAGGCATGCAGGAACTGAAGGCCTGTGTTAGTATGAACTAGGTGGCCAACACCAAAGCGAACAGTGCAGCAGGGCACTTGCACCCTCATCCTGCCTGGGGTAAGGCGTCTTTCATAAGCACTGACCAGAACATCTACTGGTGAAAGAGCATCCTGCTGAGCAGATGGCTTTCAAATGATAAAAGACCCAACTGCACCCTCATGGGCAAAGTCAGGGATTCTGCCACAAGGCTTCCCAAGGTGGAAGGACACCTTCTGATGTGTCTGGGACCTGCCCAGACACCGTCAGAGGGAAGAAGAGCAGCAGGTGCCCTAGACACACTTGTTTCTACCACAAGATACTGCTGTCCTGGAGCTTCACATGGCAACGCTGCCTTCACTTTCATCAGGACAGGCAACTAAGAGGTAGGAAACGCCACCCTGGCAGCTTCCAGGCCTCTCATATACACTCTAGGCAACGCTTCAGTGGTCTCACCAGCCCCAGCTGCCCCTCCAGAGTGGGTACACCTTAAGGGCCGTTAACGCTGCACCAAAGCAACGCCTTTAGCCAAGTGCTTTGAGCAAGAATATTTTAAGGACTCTTGCCATTTTTTAATATCCCAGCTCACTGCAGTTAGCTGAGCGATCTGAGCGTGCAGCTGTCAGTCCCTCCTTGGGTCACCAGGCCATACCCAGTGTATGCCCAGACCCAAACTGCACACCTGAAAGACCTCGTGAGGAATTCAAACTGCTGGCAGGAGCAACAGCCGTCACTCTCATACCTGCTTGGTGCCAGGTGCCCAGCTAATGATCATGAGAGGGAGCTTTGCACCACTTTCTGTATGGGACAGTATCAGTCTGAGCTGTGGTGCTACTTAAGCTTGGAAGCTGAACTGAATGCCTTCTGAACACATTATCAGTCTGGGTGAAACGAGGACATAGAGATCTCCCAAAGTTTAAAGCTGGAAGAACCTGGAGCTGGTATTCTGGTCAGATAATGCTGCTTCCTTTGCCCCCCTCTCCCCCTCCCCTCCATCCCTTGAACGTAGCAGTTTATTTTTATTTGGAGACATTTTAAAGTCATGTGAGCTGTATGAAGCAATAATGTACAGGTGCACTGACTGTATACTAAAGCACACAACAAAGATGAATGGTATAAACTGCCTTTATTAAAAAAAAAAAGCAGCAGCAAAGGCCCAGCTACAAACTACTGCCATTCCAACACACCATATGGCGCACAGCCTTACAGACTATCATCACGATCTTGCTGGAAGGCTGGCAGCGATGCAGCCTGCAGGAATACCGATAAGGAGCACATGAGCTGCTGCCACCCTACCACACGGCCCTGGCAGAGGGAAGGGAAAGGCCTCTACAGCATTGGTAAAAAGACTATCTAAGAACAAACACAACAGCCACCTTTGCCTCTGTACACAATAATGTTTTCTCAAGCTAAGTGCTATGACACTTTTGCTCCTGCAGCTGCATTTCTGCTAGGAATCATGTAGTCGGCTGCAAGGCAGCCCTCTGGCCCAAACACTCACTTTGGCTCCTGGAATGTTCCAGGAGCAGCACTAGCGACCAGTGCTCCAAGGACTAGTTACAACTCAGGTCCTCCTACGCCTACATAGGTGCTCCCTCTTCTGCTCAGCAGTGACCTCAGGGTTGCAGGGGTCACTGCAGTGAAGAACAAGAGCAGGGTTAATCAGCTACTGGTATGGGCAAACAATGTCAGCTATAGCTTCTGCTTATACTGGGGCCCCAGTGTTACAGACACAAAGTGAGCTCAGCCCCTCTCATGGTCACCAAGGTCCCTGTCAGGAGGGGTGGGGTGCTGGCAAACAAGCACCACCTGTCCTATGGTCAGTGGCACTAGCTTCCTGCCATAGCAAAGGTTTCAACATAGTGTTCTGGAAGCAGAGGGGACACTCAAGATTTCCTACAGACAGAGGTATGAGGGATTTACACAACTAGTTTGTCTTTCCATCCTTCTGTCTGCTTTCTACCACAGCTGCTAGGACTCCTGGTTTGAACCCTGATGGCCATGTTTCATGTGTTAATGGAACAGGAGACTTAAATACACCAGAAGTCACATAACATTAACCAGCAACTCTCTTCAGATCTGGAAGCATTTGCTAGCAGCAATGCTACCTTAACAATTGGGCCCACGCTACCCAACGTGGCACAGCACGCTCTAGCCCTGCTCTTTCGGCCTAAACCCATCCTATTTGGTTCTGCAAACAGCTGGCCAATCTCCACGTTTCACATGCCAGAATCTTAGCCTTATTTTAATCAGTGCTTCCAGAACCACATAGGGAAGGGAGTGTCAGAGCTAGGCAGGATGGGTGAGGCCAGATACTCGTGCTTTGTGAGCAGGGAGAAGGGGATTGCCATTCAAGGCCATCACTCAAAAGAACCCGTCACTTTTTTTCTACCCAGCACGAGCACTGCAAAACTAAGTACCTCCTACAGAGGGCAGGTCTCTCATCTTGGGTCTTCTTCCAGAGCTATCTCTGCTGCTCTATCTGGCACATCCTCAAAAGCCCGGACTGTTCTTTGGCACAGCCTGACCTTGGCTCACAACCTTGACAGCCATTTCAACAGCATTTTCCATCCCCTTCTCTCAGTCTCTTGCTGCCCTGATGTTGTAAACTTGCACTCTTGGGTCCACAGACAGGCTGCTCAGCTCAGCCCGAGCAGACAAGCTTCTCTCTGCCCTCTTTTCCTCTGAAAGCAGCTGGATCCAAGGCTTCACTGCACTGTATATTCAGACCATCTATTTCTTCTAGCACCATTCAGCACAAAGTGGAGTTCCTTGCCTGGTGTGTGGAAAGTCACTTAGGGACCAGCGTGGTCCAGATTCCACATGAAAGTACAACTGCATCGCCACAGCATCCCGATACTCACCAGCACCCACGCACTCACCTAAGCCAAGGGGTGAACACTCTCACCACAGCAGCTCAAGAGACACAGTCACAGAGAAATGGATGCTGGCAAAAGGTGCCAAGCATTGCCATTTTTTTTGGCATAGTTTACCATACTTAACTTCAGGTACTCAACACAGATGTCTAAAGCTGGAGGCAGTTAAGACTCTCTGGGCTTCCTCTGCAGCGAACGGTGGGTGCAGGACTCAAGAGCCATTGCCTAGCTACTTTGCTGCTCTGAACTGCCCCCTCTTTTCCTCCCTAGAAGGGACTCACAGAGAATTTGCTGGCTCAAAGACGAGCCAGTCTCTTAGTGGGTACCTAACAACAGACAGTGTTAACTGCCCCCCAGCATCGGCGAAGATATTTGTACAGGCTTCTTTGAAGCATGATTCCAGATGAGCACACTTCAGAAAGAGTACTAACACCGTTAAAGGAAAGGTTACATGGCTCAGGGTTATTTCCCACTTTATCACCCCCAGCAGAAATGCCCTTTTCAAAAAGCAGTAGCAGCAAGGTGGCTGGCACTGCTCAGACGAAGTGGTGTGAGGTTTGTGCTCTCCTGGAAGCTGTATAACAACAACAAATATAACAATACCTGTCTATAATTGGCTCCTGAAATACATACTGACTATCCTGACAGAACAGCCTGCCGCTGAACTTGGGCCACTGGAAGTGAGAGGCGATGGTGAGAGGCCCAGAGGTGTCCCGCCTCTCCCAGGAAATGTCTTGCTTCCCCTACACTTCGTGATACCTGGCTCATCCCTAAAAGGCAAAATGTGCTTGTCAGAGACACTTGTATGCTGACGCTGTTGGGATGCAGTAGAAGGGAGTTGCCCAAATCATCCCTTTCTGCTGGATGGCAGAATGCAATCAGAGGCTCCTGTGAGCAGTCACAGAGAGTTCTCCCCCATCCCCTCCAATGTGGTTCTTAGGTCACCCCGGCGTGCAGGGGCCAGTGGAACCCGTCCACAGTCTAGTGCTTGTGCTTCATACTGGTGCGTAAAAGGGCAAGATTCCCACCACCACCAGAGAAGACCTTTTACAGCAGTTAGACCTTCTGAGGCGCAAAGCAAGACGCCAGGCAAAACCTGGTTCCATCAGAACGGCTTCCCTCCTGGAGAATTATCTGCATAGTGGCTTAAAAACTGAGCCCAAGTTAAGCAGCCATCACAAAATAGCTATTAAATCAAGGTGGTATCTTCAGCTTCAACCTCAGTTCATGCAACCACATAACTGGTGGGACAAACTCCCAACTAACACACCAGCCAGCCAAAGATGACCTGGCCTAGGCTGTGCAAAGGGCCCTGGGAAATAGCAGACAGGTTATAGGGATGACAGCATGTAGGAAGACCCGATAGTACCTCAGAATGTGGGGTCTCCCCCAGCCCCTCTTCATTTCTCTCCTTCTTGGAATGCATTGCAGCAGAGGAATGGCGTTGTCTCTTCCGCTTCCGTTGCTTCTCCAAGAGCTTTTCAGAAGCTGGGATGTAACAGAAAGACCACTCAAGGAAAATGCAGAAATAATTCCCTTGCTATGGGTGTGACCAAGTCCTGCACTGTTTCTGAGAACTTCAAGCTGGGTCCTACTGTCTTTGAGGGCATAAGGGCTGGGGCAATACCAGCCTCCAGGCAGTCTGACCTCTGTCCTGCAGCTACTGGAGGACCACTGATTCTTACCGGTTTAAGCTTCTTTTGTTAGGCTGCTGAGCAGTATCACTGACTTTCCTGAGACAGCCCTCCAGCAGAAAAGAAGAAATGCTACCAACACAAAGCTTACATCGCCAAGCAAATGCTGGTAACTACCTCCACCCACCGCACTGCAACAAAAACTTCCTCATGTCGATACCAACACGATACAAAGGCAGATGGGGAGAGAGTGCAGTGAAACTGTCCATGGGGAAGGGCAGCCACTGTTGAGCCTGGTCACAGCATGTCATCAGGCAAAAGACAGCATATTGGTACAGGACCTGTGCTGATGAGTTTCCTTCAAGCACCCAGACTATGAATGAGAAGTGAACATCTCTCAGAAATACAAACCCACCATCTCCACTCTGCATGCAGAAACCAAAGACATAACAGTACCTCGGGTAAACAAGCTCAGTACCTATTTCTTCTGGCACTGCCTCAGCTGAGGCAAGAGCCCTCTGAGAGCCCAGGACATGTAAGCCCTTACACACACAGACACACAAAGCCACAGGCACTATCCAAATGTCACCAACAGTCTACCCCACAGCCCTGCCCCCACTTACCTTCTCCCAGGTCTGAGAAATGGGCTGGTGAGTAGAGCTCAGAGCTGTCACTCTCCGAAGGGCCAGTGCCCTACAAATACACAACACAGTCAAGTCACCAGAAGCAAATCAGAGATGCACATTCCTCACCCCTTCAGAACCTTTATGAATGACTGCAACACGGAACTTACAGTTCAGGTCACGAATTCATCAGTGATTAGAGACTTTACAAGATAACATTTGTTTTGCGTGTGTGATAGATCCCACATGGAAAAGCCAGTCTCTAGGCAGGGGAGGAATGCTGAGTCTGCTGTGTCTTGTGCCCACCAGCATCATCCGCTGCTTCCTGAGCTCTCCCAAAAAGGCTGCCAACACCCTGTAAGCTGCTGGGAACAGAGACTCTCTTGCAGCTTTACACTTTTACGGAGCTTAAGACTGAAATACACTGGCCTCTGCATTACTGTAACCATGATAACTGTATTAAGACTGTGCCACAGAGAAAGAAAAAGGAAAGGAGGAAAACTGTTATTAATCAACCTTAGAAACAGCAGCAACAAGTCTCGTGCAGGTACACCTGAAATAATTCTTCACGAGTTGCTTTTTTCCAAACCATGTCACTGACTACCAAGTATTTAGTGGAGAAGAGCAGCGTTTTCTTTAAAAATCTGCACCAAGCACTGTATACTACATGTAATACAACTCAAGCCTCCATCCTGCTACAAGCTCTGCACTGGTACCATTCACCAGCTCACTTGGGAAAACACTGCTCAGAGGAAATCTGATGGAAGCGGACAAAGCTGGAGGTTCAAGCTCAAGCTATACTGCAACGTAACAGTGACAGAAAGCCTCTGCACCGAACATTTCTGCTCACACCTTCCCAACCAGCATCCAGATGACTCCTTTTCCATAGAAATCAATTAAGAGAGGAGATTTTACAGACAAAACTAGCCAATCCCCATTACAAGTGGGGAGGGGTGGGGAACACATCTGTATTCAGCAGATTTCTTCATCACAGCACAGCAACCAACACCTTTGGGAAGGGTGGACCTTTGCTGCTGGGCCACAGCCAACAACAAAACCACAGCCCATTGTGCACTCTCATTCACCAGAGCCTGCTGTCTAGGCTCGTCTTCTATCTGGCTTTCAAAAGAGCTGGAAGAAAAGTACCTTCTTTGGGGGAGTCCACTCCTCCTTCTTTGGCATAAAGGCAGTGTCCAAATCATTGGATTCCAAGAGCTTTTTAGTGGGCTTCCTTTGACGCTTGCTTTCGAAGTTTCCTGCAATGAAATGCTTCACATCAGGTAAATGGGGGTTTTCTTCTCTTCAATCAGGCTAAGACCATTAAGCAAGTATCACCCAATCGTTAAAACAATTTGCTTCACCCTGTCTTTGGGATTATGAGATCCTCGGGCAGAAAGGATTGGACAATTACCTGTTTCCGTACTTCCATAAAAATGGACCTCAGCCTGCCACGACCTTCAAGCATACCTCAATATGCAATACAAAAATCCATCCACAGAAGAGAGACTATGAAGTCAATGCCAGCAGGTGACACAACCTGGCAGCGCAATTCAGATCATAATTTCCCAATCACTTTGATCTGGCATAAGTCAGTCAGTCATACCACTGACAAATACAGCCCTGCCTCCACTCCCACCAGCATTCATGCTGCACATCGTAAACAGGCTAAAGGACACGCTCCCGGTTAAATCCTCCAGGGAACAGACAACCCAAACAAACTAGCTGTAACCTGCACCATTTCCTACTCAAGTTTCTTGCTGGCAGCCAGGAGGTAACAAGTTGCTAGACCTGCGCTTATCCACACTAATTTTGGCAGTACAAACTTAGAATGACCAGGAAATGATGATGCTATGAGTGCAAGACACTCCAGGGAAAATGCCTGCTACCCATCCTACCCTGTGCATCTGTGTGCTTTATAAGCCTCGGCCGTGCCCCTTCTGTGACACCCACCTCTACGTACACTGCCTACACACCAGCACCTAACGGAGGGACATCGTTCTCAAGGCAAGCCCCTGTCCACAGCTTGAGCTCTGTGAGCTTCCGCAAGACGTGAGTTTTCTCAGGAGGGCGAAGAGCTACGCAACCTCTGCACACTGGATGTTTGCTCCCACTGCTGCACCCTGTACTGTTCTCCTGCATCTCCAACCTCATGTTCGCATCCCCAGATTTTCCTCCTTTAATCCTCCCCAACTTTCCATTTCCATCTGACACCCACAAGCTGCCAAAGGCAATACCTTTGCCCTCAAACATAACAGGCTAACTGACCTCCCAGTGACCACACTTCTCTGCTTGGTTTAATTTTTTTGACCACAGGCCCTTTAGAAGAGGAAGTGTTCTCTCCAAGTTAGCACAGCAGAACACCAGGGCTTTAACCCTGGACTTGTCTTCAGACACTACCAGAGAATGAACATACTGCAAAGTAGACCCTGATACTAACTGCTGGAACAGGAAAAAAGCCTGTCAGACCACACTCGCTCTTTGTACACCGTGCCTTAGCAAAAGCTAAGGCCCTGGCTTGCTGCTAGTAGAAGTCTCCGACAATTGCTACAGATGCTTAGAGCCTCTAACAAAAAAAAAGGCTTTTCCAGAGGGATTTCTGTGCTACAATTTCCTCAGCTCACTACGAGAGCAAAAGGTCACCCCACAAGCTATGCGGGTTAGACCTTGTGTATCGACCTCAGCACAGCATGTTCATCCAAAGCATTTTAACAGCAGCAAGAGACCTTCAAGCTAAAGGAATGCCACCGTTTGCAAGCACAGATGGTGAGGACTCAGGAAAGGCGTTGTGACTTTCTTCATTTGGACAAAGGGGTATTCTGTGCCAGGACCTAAGGAGGACCAGCACACACTACAGAAAGCTAATAGCTGAAGTGTAATCACCCAGCTCACTGGGTCACCCGCTGCACCTGCCCTCTCTCCCTTCCCAGCACCAGTAATGGTCACTGAATGAAGCAAAGCAAAATAAACTGAGACATCAACACCTACTAACCTCTTCACACTGACCACAGCCACAATTTCCACTGAACTTGCAACACATTCACTTATGGGAGCAGAATCACACAACCTCCCACCCACCTGATTTCAGGAATCTCTCTTCTGCATCTGGAGAAGCAGACACTTCAGAAACATCCGAGGAAGAGAGCACCAGCTCTGGAAAATCTGAAGGTCCTTCTAGAAGTTGATCAGTGGGATCAGTGGAATGGGATCCTAGTTCTGAGAAGGAGCACTCTGCTTCAAGGATAGGAGGGGACTCTTTGGTTGAAGATGGAGTTGAAACCAAAGAACTCTGCCCCCGCTGGGTATCTCTGTCAGGACTACATTGTGCAGGAAGACCTCCTTCAAATTCAGACCTCACCACAGAATTCACCTAGCATAGCGAAACATGTTGGTGAAAACATTCATCTTGCATGACACTGCACAAAGCAGGAACACTCAGCCAGCAAAAACGCATCAAAAGCACGCAGACCAGAGCCCCAGGTAATAACCATGAAGAGTACATTAGCCCTCACCCACCTTTTGCAATTGCTCCTGGCCCTTCTTTGATTTTTTCTTGGGTGCAAATAAGTGATCATACTCTTCTGCATATTCCAGAAGCCTTTTACTTGGTTTTCTAAGGCGCTTCCTCTCTGAATGTACTAAGAAAAAGGAAAGCAGCTTCAAGACTGTGTTTCTGAGGTGAACACAAGTCAAAATTCTCCTCGTGATCTGCAGACAATAGTTGTTCCTGCCTTCTCTTCCAGAGGCTCCATGTGGGAAGAGCCCTGATACTTCTTCCTCTTTGATATGGCCTTGTAATTTTTAAGCTTCCTGTTTTCCATAATCCTGACATGGCAGGTGGGATTTTTAAGGACCTAAGGCACTTCAAGCAGTTCAGATAAGGTATCAAAAAACATCCTATAGGCGACTGAGAGACTCCTAGAATTTCACCCAGCATCACCCTAGACAAACCACATGTAACCTTCTTGCGGTAATTTTACCGAAACTGAAGACCGTTAGCAACTCATGTTACTTTTGCTGTTAACCCAAACTGCTTTGGTTTTAGCAGAGGGACAAACACTGTTTTTCACATAACAGGGTTCAGTCACTGGTTTCACTAGTAACACATAAGCCGAACTCCTTCCCTTCCCCTCCTCCCTGGCATATTTTTGTACACACTACAAGAGCCTTGTACTCCCCATCTGCTACCGCAAGCCCATTTATCGCCTTTGCTTCATGACAATAGATTCCACGGTGAGACCAGGGAGTGAACAGCCCTCGCCAGAGACTGCAAGCTCTTCAGAGCTCACACGTCTCTATTTGCACAACGCCGCTCCATCGCGAGGGACATCTGGTTACAGGTATTTCCTCGGTACAAACCTAACCACCCAGGCTATACCACCTCAACACCCCAACGCATGGCAAACTCAATTTTCTCACCTCCTGGAACACCCCTGACTTTCCCCCTTTTTTAGTTTTCAAAATTATTAAATAATGTTGTTGAAAGATTTCTCCTAGTCACAGAAACATCTGCAGTCTCCTGGAAGTTTCAGAAACAAACAGTAAATATTCTTTTTGCTTCTTTTCATGTGTAGGAGGTGGCTTTTTCTTTAAAACGGAAGCATTTTATAACAGAGCATTCCAGCCCAACACTTCAGAACAGGGATGGTGGACAAGATTGCTACACTTTATTGTGGCTTTGTGGTTAAACAAGCATGAAAACGTCAAACTTGGCCAAAAGAGAAGAAACAACTTTCTCAAACACAGCTATTTTCGGCCTCTGTTAACGCTCTGCACAGGTGTTTCAGTGAAATACACATTTCAGCACATAACCAGTTATAGGATAAGTCTCCTCACCGGACAGCTATCTAGAGCCCCAAAGCCACGCACCAGAGCACACAGCACTGTGCCAGAAGGGCTGCCTTAACTGCATTTTTTCCCCCAAAGTGAATCCCGTACAAGAATCCCTAATGCAGTCTGATTGGCACTGGCAAATGACATACCTGACAAAACTGTAATTTCTAAAATTGTTTTAAATCAGAAAATTCCACCAATCTTCACTTCTGCCTTCTTTGCTCTAAATCACACCAAAAGTTTGTAGCAAAACTATGCCAAACATTGCCATTCAACTACGATGAAGACTTTATAGTTTGAGCTTAGTGGAAACTACCCAGTTGTGACTGCCATCTGCAGCGATCCCTCACACCGATGCTCTGCCTGCTGTGGACGAGGATTAGCCACATCTTCTCAGAGCACTGGCAAACAGCCGAAACTCCCCCTCTTCTGTAAGCTGCAGTCAGTCTAACTTCCAGCTTCATTCTCTCTATGTAATCGCCCTCGCCTGACATAAAAGGAAGACTGGTTTCCACAAGGGGGCTTTTCACAGAATTAGAGGTTTACTCAGTCCCACCAGCACGCTGGGGATGTTACAGCAGCCCAGACAGCTCCTCAGACACAGAGTCTCCAGTGCCTCCATACGACACATCTGTACAGATAAGCTTCAGGCATGCTTCAAGGCTCACGTGCTATTTAGGGCAGGGGAATTACATGACACTGCAGCTGCTGACCCGTCACTTTTGGAAGCAAACCCAGGCCCTCACTTTGCTGCATCCCTGTGTGCACCACCAGGACAGCTCTGCACTCCCCTCCACCAACGCCCCCCCGCCCAGAAGCCTGCTGCTGCCTTCCTCTGCCACTTCTCTCCTAACATTACCACCTCTGAGCAGCTCTTCTTCTCTAGCTCTCTCTGTGGACTTCCATCTTCACCTCACACAGCACCATTACAGGGACGCTTCAACTGCAAAACCCTCATGAAGCCATGAGAACCTGGCTGCATCTTCGTGCAAAGGAGAAGTCGCTCCCTCCAGCATGGTGCAACGCTCCCGTGGCAGAGCCCTGCCAGCCCCAGCACAACGTGCATCCTCTCGCCTGCTTGGTGAAGACTTAAGTCCTCAAAACCACACAGCCACAGCCAGAGGAGTCAGTGAATGATTAAGCTTGTCATTATTTCAAACCAGAACTTTTACCCTGTGCATTACATCCTATGGCCTCATTTTCTATGCCTGCTATGACCTGCCTTGGGCAGGTCCTACAACCACTAAGCCAGGAGCTGCCTTTTCCACACTGAAACAGAGGTGCAGGCAACCTCCAGCAACCACTAACAGCAAAACACACACACCACAATGTGCACTGAGGGAACACATAAGTGGCAAAATGCACACAGGTTCAAAATTCTGTCAAGTTACATTATTTTATGATACTGCAAATAGATCAGGGCAATGTAGTTTGGTGAAATCTATGAAAAATTTCATTTTGTTGTTTTCATTAAGGTTTACCTCCCCAGATTCTTCGCAGAAGCCTGAGGATGGTATGTCTTGAACATGATATTCCCCCCACACACACTTTAATCAAATGTCCCCATCCCTGTGGGAGAAGCAGGGCTGTCTGACCCCTTGTGGTCCTCAGAAGCTTCCTCCTTCCTAGGTCATTTCCCTCCCAATGATGTTGCCTTACTGCTGCCTACCATCTTCCAGACCCACCTCCCTGGAAGCTTCCCCCTCTTCTGTCCTCCCTCTTACCCCTCAGGCAGCCACACCAGAACTGTAAATTCGGAAATCTGTGGGGTTCCCCAATCGTTATTAGCAGCTAATAAAATTCCACGCTACAATGCCAAAAAACAACCCCAACACATTGTCTCAATGAAATCCTACAGAACAGACCAAAAACAGACTCTGTGTCAGCACTAGAGGAAAAAAAAAAAAAAGCAGCCACTGAGGCTGCTTCCCACAACTTCCTAGCGCTGATCAGCTAACAGCAAGCACGTGGCTCTAAGGAACACATTATGAACGTTTAAGTTTTAAAAAGAAAAATCCCAAACTTGGAAGGACGCTTTACCTTTCACTGTGGAGGAACTAATGATTTGTAACATATTTAAGCTTTCTGACCAAAAAGCTAAGAAAAATCCCATAATAACTCTGCCTTCTTTGTTCTCCATGCTTACAGAGAACCCAAAACCAACATATCACACCTTCTTCAGCTCAGATGTATACATCTCCATGTTGTCAAACAGCCCCAAGTTCCATAACTTATGCTTTAAATGAAAAAGTACAAAATGTATACAAATACACACTCTGGCGCAAGTCCAGCTCCCTTACCTTGTGCAGAGAATTCAGACTGGGGAGCAAAGTTGCCAAGCTCTGTTTCTGAGTCCATCACACTGTTGTTTGGCTTACCACACACATTCAAACGTTTCTCAACTAAGTCTAAACGATTCGCATAGTCCTGATCTGTCAGGTCTCCCTCAAGCACCTTTGAATGAGGGGAATGCCTACGTCCCAAGCACTCATTTCCCTTCAGTGAAAAGCCACGAGAATTCAGGCCAAAGGCACTCTCCAAGTTTCCTTGTTCCCTAGATCTACTGATGTGCTTATTAGATCTAGCACTGCTTTGGTTAAAACGCTGCCATCGCTTTTTGGGTGCTACGTGATTTATATCATTAGACTCATCACCAAGAGAGCTCTCACTATTTGCCTCTGAATCCAAGTCTGGACTCTGCCCATTTGCAGCAGAAGTGCAGCTCTCAATATTTCTACCAGCTTCAGGTCTCCTTCCAATACGATCTAAATTGTCATCAGATAAACTGGCAGAGTCTTCATCAGTTGAACGTTCTGTTAAATCAACAGACTCTTTCCTCTCAGTATCTTCTGCTTCATTACCTAGAGGACTGGTAACCGAACCATGAACGCGGAATGCATGTTCTCCTGAATCTCTGGATAACCGACTTAGCAACTTACTTGGCCCTCCTGGTTTTAAGTCCTTTCTGTTTGAAACTGTTTTATCTCCAAGCTTTGATGACTGCTTAGATTTTGAACAGTTGCGTTTGGGCACGCAATTTGTGCCGTTTGTCCCAGAAACAGCAGTACTTGCGGACTCCCTTTTACTAGTACCAATCCCCGTCAACTTGGTTGGAGGATTGCGTGAAAATGAGGACTTGCTTATAGAGGAGTTTGGATTTACTGTTTCCTGGACACAATCTCCATTTTTTTCTATTTTATACGGGGGACCTACAATAGACAAGGACTTCAGACCACTCGCAGAATTGCTTCCAGAACCATCAGCTGTGCTGGTATTTCGAAAAGGGACTACATTTTGACCAGTCATCAGTTGCTGCTCTTTTGTCTTACTGTCATGCATATCCTTCAACATCATTAACAAGGTGCTGAACTTGTAATCTGGCTCAATAGGCAATCGACCATGACCAGAGGCGGAAGAGAAAATTAAAGGTACTGTGGCCTTTGGAGTGCCAGAGTCACTAGCATCATCATTCATGGACCGATAAGACAGCTCCTTCAGCTCCGACAAGACGTGTTTCACCACTGCTGTTTCTATTTCAGCAGAATCCCTGGGTTTCTCATGGATGTTGTTTAACAGTTTTTGACCATCAACTTTTCCACTTCTCTGAAGAGAATCTCTCTGAAGGCCAGAGAAACCTTTGGTATCAGAAGAGCAGCGATTCACACCACCCTCCTCTTCTGCAAGAGAAGGCTCTAACCCAGCAACTTTTTCTTTATGTTTGCATTTTATACTCCTGATTCGGGGCAATTTCATGCTTTTCGGTTTTAAGATTGCTTGATTTGCAACAGCAGGCCAGGAGCTGTCCTTGGAAACACTTTGGGGAGTAGTGTGTTTGTTTGCTTGGAAAGATTGTCATTTCTCACATCTGAAGAGCAGTCAAGAGCCGTCAACGACATCTCAGCATCAGAGAAGCCTATTTCAAGCTCCCCATCTGCAAATTCAGCATCAAGTCTGCCAGTTACTGAACTTCCCAAAGGTTTGTGATCTCTGTATGACTTCTTCCTGGCCCTTCTGTTGCTCTTCTGAGAAAGATACATGGAAAGTTTAATGTTTCCACTTGACATAACAGGAAATTCCTTCTCCACTTTATCTGAAGAATCACTAACTTCAAGAGCACTAGAGGCTCTCTCTGAACTTTGGTCCACGGTATCTACATCACTGTTCCCACCATCTGAGAGGGAAGAGGATGAATCAGATTCAGGTTGCTTTTTCTCAATACCAGTATCAGATGCAGAATAGTGTATTTGTAATTTGGAACTGCATAAAATGCCGAGGGAGCTCTTCTCTCTCTCCAAAGATGCACTGGAAAACAAATCCCCTTGGAGCGCGTTCTTCAGAGCATCACTTTTGCGATTCTCATAGTCCGGTTTCAAAGGTGTCTTTTCAAAACGTCTTTCTCCAAAGGAGGAAAGCAAATGGTTTTCCCTGGTGCTACTGGATGCAGTCAGGCTGTTGGCAATCCGGCGAAGTTCATGAGACGCGTGTTTATCTGGTAGGTCCCCAACAATCATGTTTCTAACTATGCTCTCTGGCGTTTTTCCTTTGATTTCTCCCCTAGATGCTTCCCCTCTTGTGCCACTCTTTTTTACTCTAGTCCTTTTTCTGCTGTCAGAGCTCTTTTTCATGTGTGGCTTAATGTGCAATTTTCCTTTTTCACTGGCCAGGTGTCTGGAGTCAAACGCCAAGGATTTAAAACAGCCATTCAGCTGCCTGTCCCTTTCTGCTCCAGGGCCATTGGCATAGTATTCTGACTGCACTTCCTTCTCGCTGTCCAGCTCGCTGGAGTTCTGGCTGCACTTCTGATCCTCTGGCCCCCCAAGAAGAATGTCTTCTGCCTGTCCAACACTGACTTCCCATTTAGCCATAAATCTTTGAGGAACCTTAAAGTTGGAGGAGACAAAAGAAAAGAAAGAAAAAATTATTTGATGGGGTAAGCAACACGACAAAAGTGAGACAGACACGCACAAGGCACAGAGCAGCGTGATAGTCCTACATTGTGCATCTTATCTTCAAGACAATCGCACGGATTCCCAGAGACTGTGACTAGTGGACAGAGAAAATACTCCTCCTCGATCAGTACCCTGCACTCCTGCTGAGCCTAATAAAAATCCCTGTTCCCAAAACAGCAAGAAGGTCCTTACACACACAGGTCTCCCAGGAACCAGATGCCCTGGCATCCCAGCACACCCTGAACATAACAGCTGGTAAAGAGGAATGCACACAGTATGGATCCCTGGCACAGAAATGCAAAGCAACAGCCAATAAGCACCTCAAGGCAAACGCAGCATCATTTTCCTCAAAATATTTGAGCAGACATGTTTGCTTTACTCATTCTTGATTCTTCCTGCATCCCTTGAACTCAGAGCATGATTCAATCTTCCCTCTCCATCAACTCACCTTGGTACAAACATGAAATCCACACACAAACACACACAAAATGTACTCTATCAAATTCAAGACATCCATTTCCCAGCTTTAACTCTCTACCTTTAGTATAAAACACAAAGCACTTTCCATACTGGACAGGAATCTCTCCTAACATCTAAAAACAGCAAGAAACTTGTTTCTTATCCACATGCGTAGTTCCTGGCTGCGCAACAGCAAGTCAAAGGCTTCACAACTGCTCCTAAAATCAAAACCACTTCCAAGGCAGGAGGAACTACTCACGTTTCTGACACTTTTCCTTTAAAAAAAAACCCCATACCAACAAAATCTCATCTCAGCCAATTAAAAAAGTTTTATGGAGCCTGGTAGCAAAGCAGCCAAAGTCTCTCAGCTTCACATCAGATCTTGGCTTCCAGGGATGTAAACCTGGACATTTATGTGAGCAACAAAGATTGGATTCCCTCTACTGCAGCCACACTGGCACCACCATTTACATACAGGATGAGATTCTAGCCATGCAGCACTTCCAGGACCAGAAAAGTTACTTGGGAACATGAAACTAGTTGTTAGGGCGCTGGGAACACAAGGAGAAAAGTCCTTAGCGAAGATACTGAACATGCCCTTGGAAAAGGAAAACCAAATGAAAGCATTACACCCAGGGACTTGTATCTGCAAGAGCACATTTAATCTATGGTTTTGCATTAACATGGGTTAAGTACTTAACTGCTAATAAACCTCTTGGAAAAAGAGAAAAAGAAAAACCACACACCATTGTCTAGTATGACTATCTGCTCTCTTACAGTCATGCAGCAGCCTCTGTACTTCTTCACTTCAGCAATTCTGAAAAGTTAATTTCTCCAGTCACCTTCCTAAAGATGTAGACCAGACCCCTGTGTCACATTACATTACACCGGCTACAACCGCTCAGGGCTGTTATGTTTGGAAACGGAGATGATGCGATGAGCCACAAAACTCATTCCCACAGGCTCACTGACAAAGCATTTTCCAAGTCAAATTAAAAGTCCTCACAGGTTTCTATACAGAGAGTTACCGAAGCAGGGCTAAAAGCCCCACTGCCTTATCGCAGTCAGCGATCTAGTGAAGCGTGCAACCTCACCTCTGCCTCAGAGCAGCCAAAAGAGGCTGCCAGAGAGCACAAGAAGTTATTTAGAAGCGGCATCAGGAGAGGGCTGCGTTTCTGCTGACCCCGTCTCACACCGACTCCTCTGCTCCTCTGACTCTCAGAGCTGTCTAGGGCAATAAAAGCAGCAGGCCACACCCTGACATAGGAGAGAGCCTACAAACTCCTGGCAGCTTATAAACTGTGCTCATTGTAAGGATGCAAACAATCACATCCCTGGCTGCGTTGCTGCAGTCACTGCCAGACAGGAAAGCTGCCCAAGTGCAGTTCCAGGCATGAAGGAGTACTTTGCACCGTGCAGATTCAAAGAATCAAAAACATATTAGAGAAAACAGATCTTTCACCTTATGTTTGTAGCCTTTTTCCTTTTGTTTTCCTCTTCTCCGAAGGACAGGCAGCTCTTCAAACTGATGTCTTCCTTCAAAGAGGACAATAGCTTTCCCAGCAACCCAGGTTTTCTCTGAAGCTTCTCCTAAGGCATCCACATAGTACTCTCTGTATGGTCTCCGATTGGAAACTATTTTGAGAAATTTAACAGAATTAACCCCTTGCATATAACAGAATAAAGACATGCAAAAAGAATCAAAGAAAGCAGTAACAATTTGCCAGTTAATTCTCAATGACTTTTCGCTTAATAACATTCCCACACGAACACCAGTTCTGGGGATTTCTACTCAGAACTAAGGGAGACTCCTTTGATCTCTGCTGTCTATGTTCTGTGTTACTACTCTCTAATTTACTTTTTTTCTTACAAGCGATTGATTAACAGGTCTAAGATGGGTCATCTCCTTAGATGTAGTCAAAGACCACAGTTTGGCTGAAAAAAAATTGCAAAAATATCCAAATCGTGCTAGGCAGGACACTTCTTTATTGCTAAATTAAAACAGTCCAGTCCACTTGACCATTGGGAAAAGGGCACACTGTGCTGACAACACCCAGAAATGACACCCTTCTGGACAGGATTTACTCACACGGGTTGAACTGCCCCCACCAAAATATATTCCACCTTGTTCAATGCTTTGTTACCAAACTCTTATTTAGGACATAAGACATCAGCAGCAGTATTTAAATAAGTACACATATGCACACACACTCTACAAGGACTAGCTGCAGCATGACAAAACATTAGTTGCAGTGAGTATCTCCATAATGTAGGCACAAAGGTGCAGAGCAAAAGAAGAAACTCAACCGTAAGGGTACAATCAAAGACTTTTCAAAGGTGCTTTCTGCGTGAGAATGCCGAACAGACACGGTACAATTAGGAACTGAACCAGTACTGGGTGTGCTAGTGAAAAAGGACAGGTTACAAACATCAGAATAGAGCAAACAAGGCTTGAACAAGGGATATAAACCTCTCCCTGCATTCTGCTGCAACGTGTGCTTCACCTTCTCCTGGCAACACCTTCACCCTCTGAACACATAGCCTAGACTCTGCAGCCCCTTTGGTTTGTGCTGCTCCTTCCAGGAGTGCCAGCACAGTGCGGTAGCCTGGCCTTTAGCGATGCTGACATTGAGATTCTGATCAAGACCACCAAGAGGATGACAAATAACGACCAGGGCAACATCAAACCAAGGGCAAAGATGACAGACTTCATCTGTCCCACTCACAGTACCAGGACTTAACCCACTGAGCCTCAATATTCCAGCTCCAAAAATCTTCAAGTCAAGAGCTTGCTGAGAAAGGCAAGCTGCTTTAAACAAAACGCCATGCCTCAAACCCAAGAGGAGAAGAGGTTTTTGTCCAAGCGATGAGTTTGAAGCAACCTGCCTTGTTTTGAAAGGCTCGTTCCCCTGGCAACAGAAGAGCCAAGGCAGGAGGAGGACGGTGCTTCCTACAGTGCACGCAGAGCCCCGGCAGTTCCCCCTGCCCAAAAGCGCCAGAGTTCAGATCTACTGGCTCTGCCACCTCAGCACTGGGAGGGCAGATGAGCAGATTACATAGAGCCACAACTGGAAAATGCAGTTTTCCCCAGAGCTCTATTGGTTTGAACACGGATAAAGCATGATGGGAGAGTCTATCGTGTAGCTGGAGATCAGACCTTGCTGGAATTTGTTAACAGCATGTTTCCTCCCCGCAGAATTCCTTTATTAGAAATCCTCATATGCAGGCTGAGAAGGGATTACTGGACAGCTACATACATTAAATCCTGTCCAAAAATTCATGGGGAGGGATGCAGGGGGAGAATATATGTCTGGCATATCTTCCAGCAACATCTTCAACAGGAATTTGAGAGCTCAAAAGGGACTATTTAAAATAGCACATTCAGTATTATCTAGAATCAGGATGAATGCCTCCCAAAGGATGAGGAGAAATAGCAAGGAAAAAGACTGCAGCAACCAGACTTGGAGATGACATGGGCACAATGTAGGAAAAGCTAATTCATGTCTCTAGAGAAAAAGCAGAGGGCTCTGAGCTGATGGCCATTCAGAAAAAAGTCTACTCGCTCTCAGCACTTAGTCTTTGGCTGGCAAGGGCCACAAAAACTGGAGAGAAATGCACTGATGAGTGGCAACCTCATCAATCTACAGAGCTGTCAGCAGCAGACGGCACCAGTTCAAGGGGTTTCCAGTTGCCCACAGAACAAAAAGAATCACAAGAGGAAACCAGGAACAAATAAATAAGCCTTTCCATTTGTGGCATTCTCCCCATGGCAGCTAGTATGATCCTAAAAGCATTGTGAGAGCCTTCAAATGAGCTGCAATTTCCAAACAATCACCTCCCCTCTGTCTTCTCTACCACTCACCTACACTTCTCTCTGCCTTGAGCTCGTAAGACCCTCTTCCTTCCTGTCTCTCCCCTGTGTTCGAGCATGCACAGCTCTGTCTTATTTCCCTCACCTCTTCCCCTCACACTCAGCTGCCTCTCAGTCTCTCTGACACACTATGCCCTGAACTTTCACACATGTGGCTCCATCTCCAAGGTTTTCCTGTATTTCCCCATAAACAGCCCCTTGCTTCCCTGTGTGAAACAAGACCAAAAAAAATTCACTTCCTCACACACATTCCCATCACACCTTCAAGCATTCGGCAGCTACACTGCGCTACCCCACACCCCACCGCTCAGCCTCTCCAGCCTCTTGTTCTCCAAGCCTGGCCGACTCTCAGCGTCCTCACACACTCCAGGCTTCCCAGCTCTGCTTGCTCACCTGCTGCACATCTCTCTCCTCACCTCTCTGATTCACCTCCTTTTCCTCTGCATCCCTTTCTCAAGAGGCTGCTTTTTCTTGGGCACCGCCCTGAGCTCAGCCCAGCTACTCATCCTTCCTATACTCTGGGAAGAAGAGCCTACATGTCCAACAGCTACCTGTGCCACTTCCATCAGCCTCAGCCCCATCTTCCTCCTGTCACCTCCCTGATCTAGGTCTACTTTATAGATCTAAGTCTTCCACAGTAGAGTCTATTTCTTCATACCTTCCAAAGGCCAGAAATGTTTTTTAAATCAATTAAAAACTGCAGCACCCTGCCGTACACAACGCCTCCACTTTGTGGTCTGAATAGATACAGTACCTTTCATTTTTGAGTGACAGTCCAGCACTGGGTCATGACAAATTGTGCATGGCCACCATGGGCGTCTGTTGAACTTGGCCCAAACAAGATCCCCAACTTCATACTTCACTGGAGTAGGTTTCTTCTTGGCTCGGATCTTTGGGGAAAAACCAGAACACAAGAAATCACTAAAGCTCCAGATGCTTTTAAAGAGATTTGCCTCCCCCCTGTATGCAAGTTACATCTGGCCACCAGAGACATTTACATTAAAAAGCAAGTCCTGATTTTACTTAGTGGCTCCTACACCTTCAAAGAAGGTTCTCCCCATCCTTCTGAAAGAACAAAACAATAAACCAGGTTTGAGAGGTTTTTTTGTTATTTTTTTAGTAAGGAATGTGACCTCTGGTAAATGACTACACTCAAACTTCACACGTTCGAGCAGGTAAATATCTGGAGTCACTACTAGCTCCCATTACTTCACTAACATCAATTTGTTCATTTCAAAGGTTGCAGCATACAGAAAAAGTAGTAGTAAGAGATAATGAAATACTCCTGACTGGAAGAAGGTGATGAGAACAGCAAATTCAATGTTTATCAACTGAATTTAAAAAAAAAAAAAAAGTTGGTATGTGCAAGGTAATAACTTTCCCACTTCTCAGATGTGCTCAGGAAAAAGCTTCACCACCAAGTATCCGACACCAAAGTATTTGAAATCAAAGGCAGGTACAATCAGAAAATCCCCTTATGTCCTAACTTTTAGTTCACATAAGCAGAACTGCCACTGCCCTGCCCCAAAACTACAAACCAGGGGAAATGGAGCGCAATGGCAGTCATCCCCCTTCCAGGAGACAGGCAGACACACAGCCTTTGCCTGTCTCCAAAACCACTCACAAGTATCAACTCCGCAGAATCAGTCACCCAAACCCACCCTGCTTCCCACGGGTGCGCCACGATCATGAGAACATCAAAAAATCTTTCAACACACGAAAACCTAACGCTGCTCAATGCCATTTCTGTCTTGTTATCAAAGAGCAGAGAGCAGATCCTGTGCCGTTTGCTAAGCACACACACTCTCTGGCTGGACGCTGCACTACCAGCAGGACCTCTGCCAAGAGGAGGATTCAGGAGCTTACCGGCGTTGTGACTAATTGAGCCAAGACAGGGTACAACAGGCTTTCACGGGATACAGGAGTCTCCGTGCCTGTTTAGCAGCACCAACCAACAACATGTCCCAGGTGGGTTCAGCATTTTAAGAGCTCTAAGAAGAGCTATAGGTATTATTCTTGCTGATAAGCATCAGCAGTATGTTCCTCATTAAAGCTGTCATAGCGTAAATACGCACCTTCTCACTCCACTTCTCTGTCCTGCTCGCCAGCCTTCCCGAGGCACGTCTCTTGCAATTCACAGTTCAACATCCTAGCAACTAAAACGCAACAGACCTCTCTAATAAAAGGTATAGTCCGCTTCAGGTTGAGTTTTATGGGTTTTCTTCATGTGGTTAAAGAAAATACAAAAGGATAAACTCCTCTGTTACATGAAAAAAAGCAGGTAATGACGTTACAGACTACATTGCTGAAATTCTTCTCACTCAGTCATCAAAAGCCACGCAATAACTTATTGCTAAGCCGGAGCTCAGGAACGGGGAACGTGAAGGAGCACCGGGCAGAGCTGCAGACCCTCGCTCTGCCACTGCCCTGCTGCAGCCTCCGTGCCTCCACCGTGCCACAGATGCAGGTTTCTGGAACAGCCCATGCATCCGTGAGCGTGGGAATCAGAGGTGCTGCCTTTGCTGATGCTTTTAAAATGCAGATGCACTTTCAGATGCAAAATCCCGCCCTCCCCCCCCTTTTTTGTCTGATTCCAGCTTGTGTTGTTCTTGTAAATGTGACTTTTGCATCAATTTTTTTTCACGCATTTTTGAACCCTAGGCTTGAAGGGGCACATGTGTATCACCACTGATTATCCCAAACGCAGTGCACAGTACACACGCAGCGCATGTGCATCTTACAGACAACTGTAACCCGAGCACAGCCAGTTGGACGGAGCAGTAAAACTATGCTGGAGATTTGCCAAAGCCATTCACACTAATCCACCTGAGGGACACCCACAACCCCTGCCTAGAGGCAAGTCTGCATTTAAATCAACTCTTTGTCACCCTCCAATACCCCACACAGGCGCCTGATTAAAAGGTGGCTTTCAAGAAACTATTCAGACAATGCTTAAACAGTTACCTCTCCTTCCGAGCAGCCCGCAGCTATTCTCATTCCTCCCCAGTTTGCTCTCCCCCTTCCCCAGCACCAGTAGTCAGATGTTGGCCCCATCATCACCCACCACAAAGGCCCCACCAGCGGGTGGAAGCAGCAGATCAGGAAGCACCATGTTCCGATGTCCCGAGGAGGAGCCTTGCGAGGGGCTGCACTGCAGCAGGTCGCCGGCTGGCGCTATTTCCCTCTCTCCTCTCCCTAAATCCCACCACCTGGCCAGAGACGCCTTTACATTTCCACAGGGGAAAAAAAAAAAAAAATCTGCTAGGGAGTTTTAAAATTTGTAACATTAAAAAAAAAAAAAATAGCAGAGGAGTGAAAGCAGCAGTTATTATCATTTCCAGGTACAGTAAGTCTCTTCCTTTAAAGTCTGCTGTGGGATGCCAGAATTACAGCCCCCAAGGCATTTATTTCTTGGGTCAGAATACAACAAATTTCATTCCTCTTACAATTAACATTTACTGTGCCAAGACCAAACTGCTAATAAATCCCGATGGCCAAAAACTGAGCCCTGCAGTAATGATTTCTGTGAACTAAGGAAAGACCAAGTTTTTTTAAACACAACAAACTTCAGATGTAATGGTCAGAGTGCTGAGTGTTTACCTACGGAGCATGTAAATGTTCAAATGTTTAAGTAACAACAGAACCTGTGAGCCACTGCATACCAGTTAGGTACCATGTTGTAACTCCAGTGGAGATATGCTGATGAAATTCAGAGCAGGCAAGAGCCTGGTTAGCGAGGAAGAGGAGGACAGTGCTTTGCTCCATCGGTGAGCAACATCACTGTTTTTGTACAGGCAGACATTCTCCTAAAGGGAGTCACTACTGCCTACTCCGTTACCAACTGTTTGGTACTAACTTGCTGTTCAGATGGGACAAGCTATAGCCTGAACTCTAGATGATACACAGTATTTCAGATCCTTGTGCTATTTTTGGAAAGAAAAATGTAACTTGTGGATGTTTTTAATCAAATCTTCTCCACCAATGCAAGACTCCAAATGACCACTGATCACCAAGGTTCAGAAGAAAGATTACACAAATGCTTACTTCTACCTTGAAAAAATACCTCCTGAATTTGTACTACACCAGACATGCCAGTCTGCAATTCAGTAAGTGACACTGAGCACCAAGTTTCAGTATCTCATGAGAAAGCAGGCTTTCTCATGGAAAAGACATATGCACAAGCAGTTATCTCTGCCCTCCTGAAATTCTCACCAAAGGCAAATATGAAATATACAGAATCACAGAAACATTTAGGTTGGGAAGACCTTTATGATGAACAATCAAGCAAAGAAAGCTTACATTTCTAAATGATTTTATTATTATACACACAGAGTCAGCCCTCAACTGTTTCTCATCAATTTTCTTCCTTTTAAAATAACCACATCATTAAAAAGCGACAAAAATAATGCTTATCCAGTACCCGCTCTTGGCTGCGTCACTTGAAGCTGTTGTGTTCAATCCATTAATCTTGCTGGAAGAAGTGGTGCAAAGTTCAAGTCCACAAATACACGTGGATGCTCATAGCCACGGGGTGCATGCTTCCTGCAGCACTGGTGATCTCTGTAACAACCAGAGCGGTCCCATCACCTCCAGCACAGCATGGCACGGCTGCAGAGACTCCATGTGCCCCAACAGCACGACTGGGGATGTGACCATCTTGGCAGAGCCACAGTAAGACCAAACTGCACACAAAGGGGCAGATATATATATTGTAACAGGCCAACATTTTCAATTATCATGTACCCAAAGAGCTGCACCGAGCTGCAGTCACTGTAGCCCTGCACACCTCAAATTCAGACCTGCTTTGGAAAGCCATCATGGAAATGCTTGACCAAAATAACCCTACTACAGTTTATTGCTGACTTAATTATAAACAATGAAGCAAGGGACAGAACATGTTTTTGGAGGAAGGCTGGGGCAGCAAAAGAGATTGTGTGCGAGAAGGATGGAGAAAAGCAAGAAGGAAGCCACTGACCCCCAAGAATAATGAAAGACGATCCTGCCAAGCCTGTTTCAGGCACGAAATGGACAGAATCAAAGCCAAGGAAGAAAATAAAATGAGGCGGCCGCATCCAAATGGTAATTAAATAATACAGTATAAACAATGACACTAATAGCCTTTTCCGCTGAGCAGGCAGCAGATACCTGCCCAGGGCCCTGCAGCAGGAGCACGGGCTATCTCTCAAGCAGATCTCACCACACTAGCAGCTGCCAGGTAAGTCACACCCCGCACATGAGCCAGCTCGTACATCAGTGCCAGGGGCCGAAGGGAGCAACAACTCTGCCCTATAAGCTTTCAGTATTCTCTTCAAACCTTCTCATTCCTAAGGCAGCAAGTCTCCTGCTTCTCCCTGCAGCCCATCAACCCCCAGGACTGCAAACAAGCTGTTCTCAATACCCACTTCTTATTACTTAGAACAGGAAGCCTGGTGAGGGTCAGTCCACTGTCTTTCCTAGCACCACCTTCTATCCCTTAAAGTTCAATCATTATTAGTTTTTTCCTAAACAGGACGAGATGAAAAGGAGTTCACCTAATTCCTACCAGTCACAAACCCAGCCCTAGATATGGCTGAACTAGCTGAAGATCAACAGCTCTTTGTACTAGCAATACAAAAAAAAAAAAAATTCTAACAAAGCAAACTTGAGGGAGAGACGACATTTTGACCAACCAAGGCACCTGGAGTAGCCCGGGCCAAACAGGCTGCTTGAAGCAGTATCTAACACAATCAACCACATGGCTGGTGTCAGAGGAGCACCATGCCTAGGACATGTCACTCCCGACTCTTGCCATTTCACCATCACACAACAGCTTATTCACCCTCTGCCCTCACAAAGGAGAGGCAGCAAAAACATATCAGAACTGGCCCGGAAGGGCATTGCTAAGGCTATC